GCAACCCTTTTAAAATCCCAAAGTTACCTCAAAGTAAAGGTACATAAAAAAGAGACCTTGTTATAATGCTTGGGTAAGAAAAAGTACCTAATTTGAAATGAAGTGGTGGTGGTAAGAGCATGCATTGAAGGCAGGCCTGTGGGGGGTACTAGGGCAAAATCACAAAAAGTGTTCCTGGGGTCAGTCTACTCTGCCAGTGTCTGTATGTGACATTACATGTGACGTAGGGCCTGGACCTTTATTGTGTAAACATCAACTAGGATACTGTCTTATATAAACTGTATCTGTATCAGTCAAGCACAGGAGTATAAAGTACCATCTTTCAAAAAGGATTAGACAAAAACGAAGAAGTTCAGCTCTGAACAAATTAAGATTTGTCACCCTCTCCAAGGTGTGTGTGTTATTATTTCTATTCTGACAGCTTACATTCCATGCTAGCATTATATGAAAGCATCATAAAGTATGGGAAAGACCAGAAATACTTAACAAACTAGTTTAAAATTTTATTAAGTTATTTGTTGGCTCTTTAGGAAATGGAGACTATAGATATTTCATTAAATCCCTTTACTTTACAATTCATTGAACTCTATTACTCCCTATATATATATTTTCATTATATATCTAAACAACTAGATAAGCATAGTCGGAGGGAAAAACTTCTCCTGGAGATCAACAATGACAACAAAAAGTCCCTGGAAAGTCAGTATTTCAAGGATCTTAAGATGGGATCTTTCAAATCTTGTCGTTTGACATTGGACAATAAAATCTGAAGCCCATTCCAAAGATGTCCTAAGTCCTCAGTCTGAAAGTAATTGCCCTTCCTTGTCCTGTATGTATATATCATCAGTACAGCCAAGAATGAGTTGCAGCGAGGCCTGGACCACCGCCAAGCAATTGATTATTAGCCATTAAAAAGGAAATGTTTACTTATTCATGGCAACTTGGTTGCAGAAGGAAAGGCAAAGAGGTCTGATTTTAAATGCTGCTTTTTCTTTCTATCCTAAGTCTGATCAAGATCATTCACTTCTTGGAGGTATCAAAAGCCCATTTTTATTTTTCCTTTTGCTATTTTAACCAGAATACTGATAAAAAGGGGAGAGCAGTTGCTATGAGGCAAAGAAAAATGTACTGGCAGTTGAGGGCCCTCCATCTATCAAGGGGAATTTGCAATGTTGCCTCTCTTCAATACTGTATAGATTTGCAGGATTTTGTGAAACACTTAACCAAAATGGAAGGATTTAAAAACGGAATGCAAGATATAGATGCAATCATTTCTTTTAAAAATCAAGATACTTTAGTTTTATTTCAGAATTTTCTAGTCTTAAATTCTTAAGCACGCAGCAGTGGTGATCATCTTGGATAATACTTTTGAAAAGGCGATTAATGCAGACTGCTTAAATACATTCACTATAGCGCAGATGTCTAATGATTAAAAACTCTTATTAGGATTGAGATGCACTACATTTAATTACAGGGAAACAAATACTTACCTAATTAAATAATACTATTCCTAAGCCATGTTGAGTTGCAAAATTAGTTCAAATGTCCAGAACACCAAACAATATTTTAAAATCTAGAAAGGATATTCAGTTAGATGGTTTACTTGTGATACTAAGAATCACTTATGAATTGGAGGCAATTTATATAAAGATTTCCAATATGTGTAAAACTTATTTTGCCTAGTTTTTCCAATTGACCCCATTTCAAAATAATTTTCTCCTTCCACGTCTTTGAGTCTATCTGATATGATGAGGCGATAAAGAAAGCATCTTTCACTAATAATTCTGGCTGTTTACCTCCTTTCCTCCATTACTTCAGAAGGCACAGTTTGCATGGTACAAACTCCTGGAGTCCCCAGGCTTTGGCTCTTAGAGGTAATTTAGATAAAGTCCCAGAGCCCAGTTGGGAGGAAGATTGGACTAGCCTGCAGAGGCATTGAGGAAACAATGACACAGGGAAGTTGCAATGCTTTCTAGAACCAGGAGGTACAGAGTTTTCCTGGGATATTTAAAACACAGACTGGGACCCAGGAACACTGTTTCCAGGCCAAGAAATGTAAGGCTAGAAGTAATATTTGGAGCTAATCCCAGAGCTAGCTCCTTCTCAGAGCACCACTGCTAGATGTGTGTGTGTGTGTGTGGGGGGGGTGGATATCTCTTCTTTGGGAGCCAAATACTAAGAGTAAAAGCAAATATTTGATGCTGAAGAGCTCTTAAGAATTGAAGAGTGCCATTTACTTATTTCTACATGTCAGTGTGGGCTTAGGATGTTAAATAGATTAAAAGGCTAAGAGAGGTCAGTCACTCCAGGAAAGACTCTTCTTCTACATCTCCTGACTTGGTTCTCTGGTTCTCTTTCCAAAACTGTTATCAACCTCACTCCAAAGGTGGGTCCTTTGGAAACTCAGAAGATGGCATGTCCTCTCCTAGAACATTCTGGAGAACGTGGAGTCAAGAGTCCTGGGGATGAGTACCAGAAAGGTGGGGGGAGGGGGACTTGTGTGGGTGGATGGGGACAAAAGTTGCTGGTTAATTCAACAAAGATAGTTTTAGAAAAATTCCAGGGGTATGCAATCATAAAACTGTCAGGGTCCTTAGAAGTTACTATATCTATTGTCTTCTGTTTCATATGGTGGGGGGGGTGGGTGGGGATGTTCAGAGTGATGAGGCCATTAGAGCTAGTTAAGAGCTGGGCTGGGATACCAACTGACTCCCAGGCCAGCGCTCCTTCTCCCTGACACAGCCATGAAGCTCAGACCCCAAGTGAGAGTCTATCCAAATGCTTCCCTAGGATGGTCTTTGCCATGCCTGCCTTCCACCTGTCTGAGAAAATGGGCTAGCAAGAGGTTGCCAGGCATCCGGCTCTATCTGGAGAGAAGTCCAAGAAGCCCTGGGCTAGTCCATGACCTGCCCCATCTCTGGGACTCTGGAGTTTAGGTGCTGGGGCGCAGTGGGCACCGAGTCTGGGTTCCTGCTGCACCCTGTCTACTCCTGGCTACCTCTGCCGCCCATCTCAGAGAGGACAGCCAGGTCATTTCAATTTAATCTTATTTAAAAAGACATAACTAATAAATCTATTGCCGGGGCGGCAGAGAGACGGCCAGCAGAGTCGATCGTGCTCCCAATCCCATTGAACCCCATTGAAAACCATGACAACACGGGACAAGCTCGGATTTATCCCGGCGTGCTAAAGAGCTTTGTGAGCAGGCGTCAATCACGCATTATTTCGGACTGAACAAATGCAAAATCTTGACTGGAACAAATGCTTCCAACAGGTCCGGGGCGTCGAGCTCCATTTCCCCTTTGTCCGCGGCCTAGCAGTTGGCCTGTATTGGGGTTGCCTCCGCCCGACCACCCAGAGCGCTGCGCAGCCGGGGGAGCCTTGGGCACGCTTGACAGGGAGGCTGATGGGGAGGGTGCACCGGGCCAGCGAGCCCGGGCCCCTGCACAGGAGCCAGGTCCCAATTAAGCTCAGGTGGAGCTAGGATTTCGGGTTGGGCCACCCAAGAGCCACGTCCCTCACTAGAATTTAGCAAGCAAATACCCAAACCACGGCGTCAGAGGAGAGGCCTCTGATAGTGCCCCCAGTGAGTCCTAGACCGAAGCGGGACCACGAGGGGAGCCATGGGCCAACAAAATGTATCCGCGCCGGTTGGCTCCCTGAGCCTTCTACCTTGATCATTCTCTCCGGCTGGGGCTGTGGGAACCGGATCCGAGATCGCAAAGAAACCCCGGGCAGGCTGTCTTTTCTGCCCGGCGGGCCCAGTCCTAATTCTCCAAATCGGTCAGGTACCGGACCAGTCCCAGCGGCTGCCTGGAGTGGGAAGCCCAGGCCAGAGGCCTGCCCTGGGGCAGAGGCCGTATCCCCGGGTACTGGGCCTGACGTTGAGACCACATAGCTGAAGCTCACAAGTGGCGCCAGAGGGTCTGGCGACGCCAAGGAGGCCGCAAGGCCTTCACCGGCTCCGGGTGAGACGCCGCCGCCCGTGGGCCCTAGAACCGGCCTGGGCTGGGCTCTGAGGAGCGCCGCCTCTGGAACTGAGCCCATGACCCGCAGCAGCCGGGCGGGGCTTGGCTAAGGAGGGTGGAACGAAGGACTTGAACAGCTTGGCCCGATTCTGCCTCGGTTTTGCCAGTCTGGGGAAAGGGGCGCAGAGCTGGGGCTCCTGTACTACTGCCAGCCCTTCCCCAGCACCCTTTGAAGTGGGGGCAGGGGGGCGTTTGGGATGTGGTTCCTAGAGGCTTTCAATAACCCTCGGCCCAGATGCCGGCGGGACCAGGCCACTCTGTGCCCGCCTGCAATTTCTCGCCTCTGAATCCTTAGAGGGGCCCAAACCAAAAAAGAGCGCGCCAGAGTTTAACGCCGCCTTGTAAATCACTTTACGGATAATTGCGGGAAACGAACACTCTAGCAAACAAGCTCGAGAAATAAAGCAAACAGGGAATAAATTCCTGGGCCCTCATAAACCCACCCATGCCGCCCCCACCCTAGCCGGCGCTCCTGCGGGGCCAGGCCCCGTGTCAGCCCAGGAGGAGGAGGAAGCTGGGGCTGAGACAGGCGGGTGGTGACCACCGCTCGCCACCCAAGATGTTATTCATTGGTAACAATCCCCATTATCTGTCCCCACTTTGGGCTAATCAGACAGAATCGCTAATGCCTTAGAGCTGCTTCCTGCCGCCTCTGGGAGGTAACGGGGCGCCGAGGGGCGGGGGACGGGACCGGGCGGGGGCGGGGGTGGAGGTTGCACCTTCCGGGCTCGCTCCGTCTTTGGTCCAGCACTCATTCAGGTACTTAACACCCTGCATACCCGGACCTCGGCTTTCAAAGCATCCCGGGTGGGAAGAGCTGTTTATATAAACAGAGATTCCGCTGTAAGCGCGCTAATATCCCGGCAGCCAGCGCATGGCGAGCGCCTCTGGCTCCCGCCGGTAGCAGCGGCGTCCCCGGCCGCCCCTCAGTTCCCAGCCTGCCCCGCCCCCGCCTCCATCCCCTCCTTGGACATGGCCACCTCTGGACGCCTCAGCTTCACCGTGCGCAGCCTCCTGGATTTACCCGAGCAGGACGCACAGCACCTGAGGAGGCGGGAGCCGGAGCTACGAGCTCCCGGGCTCGGCCGCTGCGCCACCTGGTTGGAATCCGAGCGCAGCCACTACCCCTGTGAGTAAGGCGAGGACCACTGCGGGAGCGGGGAGAGGGGAGCAGAACCACGCGCCCGACCGATGCAGGACTGGGAAGTCGAAAACAGTCTTTGCCCCAGAGGCTCTGACTTCCAAAAACCCCTGTGCCATTGGTGACCTACTCAGCACATCCTGAGAGCAGATCCTTGCGCCTGGCACTGACGCCCGGGATCTGGGTTTCTGTTTCTAGAGGTCACAATACTTAAATATTAAAGAAATGGCCTTTAAATGTCTGAAAACACGGCTACGTTCCCAGGCCTCGGTCAGGGATGGGCAGCAGTGGCGAACCTAGCTCTCCAAGCCTTTGCAAACCTCGGCAAACTATTGCAATAGACCTGGAGGTGGCCTGCGTTGGTGACCCAGTTTGCGGTAAATTCTTCTGCTAGCAAGCAACCAGTGTGGACTTGTTTTAAGAGGGTCCCGGTGAGTTTCTTAGGAGGCGCGGTCTCCGGTTATGGTATAAATGAGGTCCCTGAATTTGGAGAGGTGGGTGTCCGGATGTGGGCCCAGGGAAGGAAATGGTCGCAGCCCTAAAGCCGCGGGCGAGTGGCGGCGCCCTCCGGCCGGTGGCTCCACGCGCGCGCGCGAGAGAAGCAGCCGGCGCGCGGAGGGGCCGGCGTCTCATCAGGCCGTGTCTCCCTTGCCGCCCCCAGTCTCGGACGAGAGCAGCCCGGAGACCAGCCCGCCCGACTCGTCGCAGCGGCCGTCTACTGGGCCGGTGTCTCCCGGCTCAGACGCTGAAAAGAGGAAGAAGCGTCGGGTGCTGTTCTCCAAGGCGCAAACGCTGGAGTTGGAGCGACGCTTTCGGCAGCAGCGCTACCTGTCCGCGCCCGAGCGCGAGCAGCTGGCGCGCCTGCTTCGCCTCACGCCCACACAGGTCAAAATCTGGTTCCAGAACCATCGCTACAAGCTGAAGCGCGCGCGCGCCCCTGGAGCGCCGGGGGCGGCGGAGTCGCCGGACCTGGCAGCCGCCACCGAGCTGCGCGCCGCACCGGGCCTGCTGCGCCGCGTGGTGGTCCCTGTGCTGGTGCGCGACGGGCAGCCTTGCGGCACCGGCGATCTGAGCACGGCCTCCGCCCAGAACAAGAGCGGCGCGTCCCCAGCCGCCTGCCCTTTACCAGGCTACGCCACCTTCGGGCCTTGCTCGGCTCTCGGCCTCTTCCCGGCCTATCAGCACTTAGTGCCCCCAGCCCTGGTCTCCTGGAACTGGTGAGGCCATTGCGGTGCGCGGGCACCTGGGGCTACCCCGGACTTTGGAGTGGCTCTGCGGCCGAAGCACGGCTGGAAGCTGAGACCCGGACAGTTTCCCCGGCCCCACCTCTCTGCGGGCCCCACCTCCCGCAGGAGTCCCTGCCCCGCCCTTCCCAGCCGCTGAGCAGGAAATTTCAGCCAGCATTCCCTCCTTTCCTCTTCCCTCGACCGCCAGCCCCAGAGCTAGATTTTATTGCTTAAACCTTATTTGTATATTTTTAAATAGCTATTTGTATGGGAAGCAACGTACTTTTAAAGAAATAGAATATTTTTTCCTCTTTGTGGTGCGAGAATAAAATGTGGAGGGTTGGGTCCCCTGAGCGCCTGCCGGCGCTGTGCTTTCCGGACCCGAGTCCAGGGCTCTAGTCCACTCTCCCCACCCCGGGTTGGGTGGAAGGGCAGGTCCCAGGCCCGATGCAGCTTTAGGAAGATATTGGGGGAAGGGGTGGAGGGAGGCATGTGCGGGGAAGAAGCCAAGGGAACCCTGAGATCCCCGACAGCGGGAAGGTGGCGGGGAGATGAGTTGGAGGCCCCTCTGGACTCCCGAATCTGCTGGTGTTTCAGACACCAAAAGTCAACCCAGTTGGCCAGGGTAGGACATAATAAGCTTCCCCACAAGGACTCTCTGGAGTTGTGCCAGGTGAGCTGGGGGTAGAGCTTACTGCTTTGGAACAGCTCAGGCCTGGTGGCAAGCTGTCCTTTTCTGGACCCAAGGAGCACCCGAGCACCCAGAGAATTCGTAAATCCCAATTAAGCCTGCGAATTCCTCGCTTGGCATCTGTGATTTCCCCCCTCTTAGCTCTACACCTGGCTGAAGTGGGATGGGGAGGCGGGTAGCTTGATGAAGAAATCAAAGAGTGGTGGGGAAATGACCCTCCTCAGGGCTGCCAGCTGAGGGAAGATGGCTTTGGAGACCCCGAATGGGACGACATCTGTGTGGGATCTGCTGGTGGGTCTCATTTCACCCGAGGTCCCGATGCACTCTAAGCTCCGGAATCTAGGGATCCACCCTTGGAATTTGGAACTTGCCTTGGGCTCCGTATGCGGAGCCACAGAGGTCCCTATGCAAGTGTTTACCCCTCGGAGAAGTTAGGGCCTGCCTCCCTGGTGCCCACTGCGAGGAGATGTGCTTGAGGAGAGTAGGTTCAGGCATCCGATCCAGAGAAGGGAGCAAGGGCTCAGTGAGGTCTGTGAGGCAGAGACACTGGGCCAGTTCCAGACCCCATTTTTCTCCCCTCCCCCCCCAGGAGGCAGGGTAGCTGAGGCAGGGTTATCACCTGAAATTTTGTGGGGTGGGGAGATAGAAGACAGAGGGGGAAGGGAGTGGGGTGTTTTGGTCTCAGCTGCTGGCCACCTTGCCTTCCATATGGATGCAGTTATCTCAGAAGAATCTCGATCCTTAAACCTCCTTTTGTCTTGGAAACTGAAAAGGGCATTGTCAGGCCTGAAAAGGACCTAGACAAAATCCGCACTGTTTCAATTCAGGACTCTGTTTAATCAGTCCCTGGTGACAATGTCGTGGGTGTTAGAGAGGACAATAGTATCTTTTTAAATCTTTTTAAACCTTGTGGCCTTCAGGAAGACAAAGGGCTTGAATTTTATGGGCTTACAACTTCAATTAGAACAGTGCCAGTGTGCATGGGAGATTATCAAATTTGTATCATAAAACCTCTTTCTAATAAATGATTGCTGGAGAGGGAGCCTGGACATTTTAAGACATATATTGAAAACCACTATGGGGGCTTCCCAGTTAGCCCTGGAAGAGCAGATGAGAAAGAGAAGGGGGAAAAGATTTCTGAAGAAGGCCCTGGTTGGGACTTGCCCCTGTGGTTAGCTGGCTGGGTGCTTGGCTCTTCCGTGCTCTTCCTCCAGAAGGAGTGTTTTCTCCAAGATTGGAGGTAAAGATCTGTAACTTTGCTTTCTGCTATTGGCGGAGAAAGTGCAAACTCATCAGCTGTTGTTTCTTGCCTCTTCTTTTCCTGGACTTACAGAGGAAGTAGGTCTTGGGGTGTGCAAAGTGGAGAGAGCCTAATGAATATGAGGTAGGTCCATACTGAGGGGTCTGAATCATGAAGAGACCCTTTTCCCAGGAGGTTCTTTGGGAAATCATGTTCTCAGCTAAATTCATCTAGAGGTCCAACTCTGATCCGAAAGTCCTGCTTCCCGGTAAGGTGGTCAAAGCCATAGCAGGACCGCCCACCAGCAAGCCAGCTGGTGTCTGGGGCAGGAGGGGGGCAGAGCTCTCCTATGACATTAGCATTAGGAGCCATCGTATAGAAACTGTTACTTGCTTCCTCTTGCTCCTTTTCTTTAGGCCTGGCCTTCTAGAGAGGAAAAACCACAGAGAAGAGTTAAAAATATATTCCCATCACCACTGACCCATTTTAGAGACTCAGGCTGTCATTTTTCTTCTGTTCTTACCTGAGATAAGCTGTGAAAGATAAATGTCAGTTTTCTGTGTGACCTAAAAGAGCAGTTCTTCTAGGTGCTGACAAGAGAAGTTAAACCCAAGGCTTCTCTACAGGCAGCTGGGAGAACAGTTAGGATCTCGCTCCCTAGATGAGAGTATTTTAAACCTGCTGCCCATCACCCATATCACAAAGGGGATTCACACTCAGTTTTGAAACTTACTGTGTTCCAGGTATTGTTCTAGACACTTTCACAGTTCATCTCACAGAAACATACTGTATTTGTATATGTAAACATATACATATTGTATATGTAATATGCCCATTTTACAGATAGAAGCAGAGGCTCAATGAGTGGGAGTAAGTGACTTGTCGATAGCAGTTGTAACCCTCATAAAATGTCATCATCATCCTTTGTTTAACCCACATTTAGGCATCCTGCAAACTGCCTTTAAGGAGGACGATTGTCATTTTGATGTGACAATGTATATACTACGCAACCATCATAAAATAGTCCTTTTTTTATTTAAAGATTTTATTTATTTATTTGAGAGAGAGCAAGAGAGGGAGAGAGCCCAAAGAGAGAGGGAAAGGGAGAAGCAGACTCCCCACTGAGCAGAGAGCCCATGTGGGGCTCCATCCCAGCAATGCGCCCCCCCAACCTCCCCCCACCCGCCACCTGAGATCATGACCTGAGCTGAAGGCAGACACTTAACCAACTGATCCACCCAAGTGCCCCCATAAACTAGTCTTACAGATACTTCAGGGCCACTCTCAGAAACTGATCACATGATATCACAGCAGTTTCTAAAACTTACTTATGTTTCCTGGATACCAGGCAATATTCTAAGTTCTTTTACTCATTAAACTTGTTCAGTTTTCACAACAACCCCATGACATGGTACTGCTAGTCCCACTTTACGGATGAGGAAACTAAAGGCCAAGGAGTTATGAGTAACCTGTCCAGGGTCACACAGCTAGGAGCTGACAGAGCCGACAATGAACACAGGCATTACAGCTCCGGATCCCACATGTTTCACCAAATGGTGGGAACGATTTCCCATTCTTTATGTTTTATTTCTCCCAGTTGGTAGTCCTGGTTACCTTACAAATGCTTGTCTGAGAGATATGTTCTCCGTTTTCCCCTTCCTCCCTCCTCTCTTTCCTTCCCTTTCCCTTCTCCCCTTATCTGCCGAACTTCTAGCTCGCTCACACAGCCTCTGTGTTGCCCCTCTGTGTGCCTTCTTGTCCAGCTGTCAGTGAAACACAGCTCTTGTTGCAGGCCACAATATTTTCCCGTGACTATCATTCCACTATTCTTCTTCCAGAAAAACATCTGCTGCGGCTGCCTTGACACCAATTGTCCACTGGGCTTTTGGCAGAGTCCAGGCTGACTCTGATAAGCTCCTCTAAGCTTTCCCAACCCCCAGGCTCAGACCCCTGTGGAGCTTTATGACTTTGGCTTTGCTGGCCCTTTCCCCAGTCATCTTCCTCCTTCCTGGGTCTCCAGTGTTATCTTTATTATTAAATATCATCCTCTTCACATTTTCCCTCTTTCCTTCCATTGTAAACACTTTTCACTTCATCTCACTTAACTCTCTTGTGGGTGGAGATTGCAATTTTCACTTCAATTTTCTTTCCTCATTGTTCAGAGGATCTTACATCTTAGCAAGTCTCTTATCTGACCAATTTAGCACTTTAGAATCTTAGATAATGTGTTACTGATGGGTTAGAGGGAAGTTATTTGAGCCCAGGTTAACCTATACCTTCCCTTCTAACAATGGTGTTTAGGTGTTTCTTGTTCCCTTGCTTCTTACACACACAATTAACTTGCCTCTTACACACACACACACACACACACACACACACACATACACACACGCTTTACAACTTTAAACCATTTTAGACTTAGGAATAAAATGTTCAGGCAGGATACTTTGGGGCTTAGCATAGTTAAATAGTTTGTTAACCAAGTTTATCTGTTTTGTGCAGGTAATATGTAGACATGAACAATAGAGTCAGAGGAGCTTTTGGAATGCTCAGAAAGTAGTCTTCTGCCCCCAGGGCATGACCATTTCTATGGAAGGGATTGCATCATTTACTCTTCAAGACCTGAAGGAGAAGTTTTATTGCTCCAGGTCACTCGTAATTTTTCCGAGTCATATGTGGGAGGAGACTTACTAAATGGTTTCTTAATTACTTTTAGAACTCCAATTTGTATCTTTTAACTCATCTCCAACCCCCAACTCCAGACTAACGACTGAAGGTATATGACATTCCTCTTTCTCCTTTTTACCCAGTGTTTGTGCTACTCAGTTCTCACCAAAGAAACAAACAGTATTCCCTTCAATGCTGACCCACAGAGTGGTGATTTAACCAGGAAGAATTGAGGAGACTATTAAAACAGTCACATACATACCCCCAAATTTCAAAAACACAGGGTTTTTTCCAGCCATGTTCAACAGAAAATTTTTACTCTTTATCCAGAAAAGTAATATCATCATATACAGGTAAAAGAACATTTTCTCTTCAATACCCTGCCCTATGAGCCAATAAAAGTCTTGAGGTCTTATTGAGATCATGTGATTTCAGAAGCTACTATAGCTTCACTCTAACTTCTGTGA